TACCTAATCGTTTAGCTTGTCCACCTATCTATCCATCCATACACCCATGTTTTGTTTGTTCATTTTTAAGTTATGCTCTTCATCTTCCTTTCTTCCTATTCTTCCCTCCGCTTCTTCCGCACCCACCCCCCATGCCTCTGGTTCCTGTCTGTTTTCCTTTTTCCTCTTCCCTTTTCCTAGTTGCCTTTTTTCTCTCTTTTGGTTCTTCCCATCCCTTGTCTGTCCTTTTGCAGTTTTCCCATTTTTTCTTTACTCTTCTTTTACTCTTGCTCTTTTCTCTCATTAAACCCTCCCCATATAATGTGGCTTCCCCCCCACCTCTTTTTCCCATTATCTTTCTTTTATCCTTTTTTAATATATTTGGAAATTTTCTCTTCATTTACGTTTCTTCTTTTATTTATTTATTGGCAATTGTTCCTGTTCATTTATGTTGTTTGAGTTTTGTTCTTGTTTTTATTTTTAATTTTTTTCTTGTCTAACCGAGCAGGAGACAGCAATCATTCCCACACAACCCAACCATACCTGTACGTCCTGAAGCCCCAACCACTGAGTGAGGGCCACCACTTGCTTTTGCACCAACTGACCAACGACAGATGGCAGCCAATACCAACTCAACTCACACTCTGCTGCTTCTTACCAACAGCTAAGCGAGATCTCTCTCTCTATGACACTCACTCAGAGACAGGAGGTGAGTGCCTAAGTGCTAGCAACTAGCAACCAGAGAAGCACAGTACCCTGCTCACACAGATGTATCAAAACAAAATAAAAATAGAAAATAAAAAGAACTGGGGTGAATCACACCAACATACAACCTACAATTTTAAACATAAATACAACACTATCACAATGTCTTGGAGACAAAAGACCATCACAGTCTGTGATAGTTGGAGCTGTTTGTCAACTTGGCTGGACCACAGTCCTGTGTGGTTTAAGCAGTTGTGATGTGGGTATTCCCATGATGGGATCAGATGTGTATGTTTGAACAGCCAATCTGCTGAAAGGGAGTTTCCCTAGGGGTGTGGCCTGCTTCCAGTATATTTATGGACATCCTGGGAAAAGAGACACTCTTCTGGGGATTGGGATTCTGTTGTGCTGCCTACAGCTGTCTGTAAGCAAACAATCCACCATTCAGCCTGGAGATCTCGGATTCGTCATT